ATCTATCTATCTATCTATCTATCTATCTATCTATCTATCTATCTATCTATCTATCTATCTATCTATCTATCTATCTATCTATCTATCTTCTATGTATTCTATCTATCTTTTTCTTTTTATATCTTTATAACAAAGACTGTATGTATGTATGTATGTATGTATGTATGTATGTATGTATGTATGTATGTATGTATGTTACAACATAACTCTGGAGTGCCTCGAGCAATTTTAACCAAACTTGGTACACAGATGACTTACCTTCTGGAAACTCTGTGTGTGTGTTGTAAGACACCCCCCCTGGTGTGTGTGTATGTGTGTGTGTTCCAGCATAACTCTGGAATGCCTGGCCTGTTAAGGAGAGCAAGTTTGGCGTCCTAGACCAGCAATTGTTTAGAATGTCATGGGAGGGAGAAGGGAGAGCCTGGGCCGTTAAGCAGAGCGAGTGCAGCGTCCTAGAGCGGCAATTGTCTGCGATGTCAGTTCCTTCGCCGCTTCCTCTGGAAAGCCAGCCGCGACGTTCGCCCTCCAGTGGACCAATAGGGAAGCGCCTGATGGATTTGGGGCAAAGTGCCAGGATTGTAGACAGGGCCGGAAAGAGGAGCATGTGGTAGAGGGAAGGGAGAGGGCAGGGATGATGGGCATGGGAGTAGGGGGAAGAAAGGCCCCTCGCAATGACTACCCGCCAGACACACAGGCTTCCCGGAAACTCACATCCCACCTAACCTGGAAGGTGAACAATTCTGTGCTTCTCTCTCTTCTAGGTTCTACCTCATTATGGTGGGCATGTTTTTCACCGTCAGTGTGGTGAACAACTACGCTCTCAACCTCAACATCGCGATGCCCCTTCACATGATCTTTAGATCGGTGAGAATTGATTTCCGTTTTTCATGATTTCGTATTGATTTACGCCCCACCTTCAATATCGCCTCGCTCAGCGACAGAAAGGTTGGCCTTGATGGTGGTCGTAAGTCGAGGACTCCACCTGTACCTTCAGCCCTAAGGTTATGTGCGGACTTTGGGGCGATAAATGGGAAAAAACGGTCCCGAGTCACTTTTGTTTTTCAGGGCCGTTATAACTTTGAAAGGGCACAAAATGAACTGTTGTAAGTCGAGGACTTAACCTGTATGACCCCAATGGCTGTTAACCTGTCTCCTCCGCCAACCCCTTTCCCCCTTTCTCTCCCTGTAGGGCTCTCTGATAGCCAGCATGGCGCTCGGGATCATCATTCTGAAGAAGAGGTAAGGTGGCTTGCAGGTGCTTGCATTCACCGATGAAGGCCGTGTTTATGGCTTCTCCGTGGGGTTCAATATGTACACAGGTAGCCCTCAACCTAGCCACCCCCAAGGTGCTTTTTCTAGAGGCAAGTGGGATTTCTTGTCCTTCTTCGTTTCGCTTTTTTGTGACAAACTGAGCAACGGGGCCTATGCAGCCAGCCAGATCTGTAGGTTGGGGAAACAAAACAGCCGCTTCACAGCCGCATGGCGCAACAGAGGAGAATTAAGCCCAGGAGGGTAAGATTCAGCAGGCCGTCTGCATTCAAGGGACAAAAGCCACTCTTCGAAAGACAGCAAAGTCCACATTTTGGACGGAGAGGACGGCTGCTTTGAGAGAAGGGGTCAAAGAGGCCATCTTTGTAAAAAATGAACAGCCCTCTCCCCAAAGAGGGGGAGGGATATGACCTCATCTGTCTCCAGTTTACAACACAGTCCTTTCAACAGCCGAGGTGGCGCAGTGGTTAAATGCAGCACTGCAGGCTACTTCAGCTGACTGCAGTTCTGCAGTTCGGCGGTTCAAATCTCACTGGCTCAGGGTTGACTCAGCCTTCCATCCTTCCGAGGTGGGTAAATGAGGACCCAGATTGTTGTTGGGGGCGATATGCTGACTCTGTAAACCACTTAGAGAGGGCTGAAAGCAGTAGCCCTCTCTAAGCGGT